AATTTGTCATTGAGTTGAAGTTTTACTGTCGGTGAAATAAACTTTCGTTAAACTAAATTTCAGTAAATTAAATATTTCATTTAATTCAAATTGTCGTTGAGATAAAGTTTTCTGTGAACTAAACATGTCAGTAAATAAACTGTCTTTGAAACAAATTGTCGACTAAATGCGGATGTCTGTAAAGTGTAATTCTGTAAAATGTAGTGTCTGTGAAATGATTTTCGGTAAATTTAATGCCACCCATATGAAATACATAGAGTATGGTTTACAAGCAAGTTAATGGGAGTCGCGGATTCTAGGCATATGATTGAATGATCATTTCTCGAGTTCTACCAAAAAATCCCGTAATCCAAAATCTCGAAATCCATAATCCCGACATCACTCGATGCAACAATTAAAATTTAAAGCCTGACAATGATTGTTAATGTGATTACTAATCTTTAAATATTAATTAGTACTCCACATGATGTCAGGATTATGGTTTTCGAGATTTTAGATGTCGGGATTTTATGGTAGAACCGCAAAAAAAAGCTTTAATAAATCTTGAACTCTTAAATAAAATAAAAATCATTTTAATAAACTTTAAGGACATTTCTCTTTATGATAAAAGTATCTGTGATTAGACCAAAAGAAGGTTTAGGATTAAAGAGATTATACCCAATAGCTATAAAGTTGTTGTAAAAGCTACAAATAACCTGGTTCTAATTACTGAAAAGTTTTGAGGCTTATGTCACACCCATATGAAATAACAGCATTGCGAACAAAAACAAATATGGGATTGAATAAAGTAAGACATAATTGAACAATTTATCAATAATTATGCAATATGTGCTGTTAAAAAACCAATATTTTATCCTTTAGCTGCCGAAGCAATAATTACAAAAAATTATTAGTCAAGAGTTCAGTAAATTTAATCTTAAAGTTTGTTTTTTTTATTAGCATATTAAAGTTAATTTCTTTTTTTTTATTTGTAGATAGACTTAATTGACCTTACTTTTGATTTGAACCAAGAATTTAACTATGTATATCATATAAGAGATCACTTTACCAGGTTTTCTGGACTAAGTCACTAACTTCAAAGAATAATCAAAGTTGTATATTTTCTGTTTGATTTTTTTCATTCAATTAGATCACTACTAACTATATTACAGTCAAACAATAAAAAAGAATTTGGTTTACAAATTATTAAAGAACTTATTATTCTATAATCATTAGTTAAAATCATCAATAGAAGACCCTAGTATTCTCAATTCTAAGAGTTGGTTAAATATACAAATGAAATTCTAAAACAAAAGGTGAACAAATAGAAAAAAACTACTAGTTAAAGTGACTAGTCTTTTGGTTTAAGGTTCATTATTATAACTATGAATAATTTATAGTGCAAGGCTATAAAAAGACATTCTATGAACTTGTATATAAAGATAAGTCACATAGTAACTGTATTTTAGTTAGTAAATTATATATGAATGATATTTGTAATAAAGAGAAGATTTCTAATACAATTGAAATTCAAACTGACAATATAATAAATTTAAATAACAATATAAATAATAAATTTTTATTTTTTTAGTTTTTTTATTTAATTTTACTTATATGTTATATATTAGATTAAGATCAAGGATCAGAACTCTTGTACTCAGAATTATTATATCTAGAATCATTATTTTAAGAACTAACACACTTAGAATTATTATAACTTTTTTTTTTTATAATTAAGGTCAATGTTAATGGCAACTAATGCCTTTATTTGTGCTTTTACTAAATACATTATATATTACTTGTACATGATAAGTGTACAACTAGTCACATGTGTAACTTTTGGTTACCTATTTAAGTAGTCCGCCTAAGGGTTCTACACTAGTTGTCATACCTATAATCTGGTAAAAAAATATCTAATTAAACATTCTGGTTTCTATACTATACCCAGACAATTAACTATCCTGGTTCTTGTACACCTAAGTGCCATCTAACTCAAAATTTTGCCTCTTTTCTGTATATCTATCAAGCTGTTACCTAATTTCAAAGCATGTCACCTGACTATAAGGTTCCAAAAGTCCTTCTGTTAACTACCTACCCACTCTATGGAACATTAACAGAGCTTGTTCTTGCAGAATTCACTCAGACCCCAGCACTTACTTTACAGCATATCTCTAATACTTTTAGTATACTTTTATTTTTTTTTTCAAACTCCCAATCCAGATAGCTCAGTAGGACTACAACTAGTTCATTAATATATTAAATTAGCCTGATATTCTTTTTTTCTGATTCTCCCAGTTGGACTTCTAATAATCTGGTTAGTAGTACTCCTACTCAGAGGTTTTTGCCCATCTGGATACTCCACATTGGTATCCATTTTCTAAGTCTAGTCTTTACAGTAGTATTATCAAAGATCTATGTTATCTCTCTACTTGGATCTTTCCAAATGGGCTTCTTGTTTTCTAATTTCTACAGATTTACACATTCACAAGAACTTATTTTGAGTTTGTATTGCCTGATGCCAGTTGCATTCCTCTATGTAACCAGTTATACAGATGCTCTATAACCTGCCAGTTATGCTGGTATAACTATAATTATAGGTATCTTAACCCAATCATTAGGAACAGTTGTCATAATATGAATATTAAATAGGTAATTATCTAAATGTTCACTATCTATAGGTTTTGAACTCACAACCTACCACTTGAGGGGTTGATAGCTTATTCACTTCACTAAGTCACTATACTTCTGGAATTATTATATTTAAAATTATTGTTTTAAGAATTAATATATTCAAAACTATTAGCTTATAAATTATTACCTTAAGAACTAATATACTCAAAACTATCATTTCAAAAAAAAATTATTTCAAGAATTATCATATTCAGAATCATCTTCTTAAGAATTATCACATTTAGAACTATTATATTTAGAAACACTGTATTAAGAATAATTGTACTTAGAAATATTATTTCAAGAATTATCATATTCAAAACTATTATCTCAATATAATATATTTATATAAGTTTATTAAATAGTTATAATATTAATTTTTTATAAAAAAATAAACTTTTATTTATATAAATATAAACTAGGAACAAAATTTGAATTTAGTTCTTACAAATATTACAAATCAGAATAATAATATGCAACATGAAATTTTATAAGATTTTGATTGTATAAGTTTCAATTATATACAGAAAAGATGACTAAACAAATACTAAAAAAAAGAAAATTAATTGATTTTAAAGTTAGTATTTTGTTCAGATAAGTATTCTGAAGATTGATCAGTTTGCAATTGATTGTTCTAACCTTTTTTTGTAAAGTTATAGAAAAAACTAATAATTAATAATACTTATTAGGATGCAAGTATAACATAATCATTGTGTATTATTCTTTAGATAAATTAAAAATACTCAGAATTATTATTTGTTTTGAACTTGATGTGATACCATTAGAACAAATATTTCTTTGAGAGATGGCAAGGCTTCAGAGTGTTGAATTGGTATCAATCTCAATTTGTAAATGCAAAGATTATGTAATAGCAAAAGATGTATTGTAAAAAGGTAAATGGAAAGTGTTCATGCAGGTGCCATAATGACTGTTCTTGTTTAAATAAAGATTAATTAAGAAATGTAAAACTGTAATAAATAGCTTTAATTTATATATATTTTTTAATACAAACTAAATAAATAATATTTAATTGCTTTGTTTAAATATTTAAGTACAGAATATTAAGTATTTAAAAATAAATTTTGTTATAATTAATATCGATGTAACTTTGTGTCATATTACAACTAAGGCACCTCAGGTGACCGATCAGTAGGTTACGCACCTCACCTGACGAACTGTATTTGAGGTGCGTCAGCTGCAATCTGAGGCAAGCGTTAGTCTGAGGCACAACATATACAAAGGTTATTATAGGGCTTCATGAGCCTTATCATTATAAGATCTGAGTATAATAAATTATAAATCTTTGAATTTAATATTAAAAGTGTGATAAGTACTTAAAAACGCATAATATGTGAAACTTTTTTCTTCGTTAAAGTGAGAAGCGATAGTTTATTAATATAATATAATTTTATTGGTTGATTGTCACGTATTGCATAAATGACGAATAAAATATAGTATAGGTGACACCTTAAAAAATAAATAATAAGTTGATTTAAAATAGGTTATATTATATCCTAAATACCAATAATAACGTGTTAACCGATTTCATGTGATCAAATCACGAGAATGAGTGTCGGGAAAATTAAATCCGATCTTAGACAGCATTTTACCGAAAACAATTCGCCAACAAGTTTATTTCACCGACAGTTATTTCACCAAAGCTCATTTCGCCAACAAAATAATTCTGCGCTTTTCGTTAGGGTCAGATGAGTTAATGTTAGTGTAATTTATAAAAAAAAACTTGTCTGTGGAATGAGCTTCGGTGAAATTAACTTATCGGTGAAGTAAGACATGTCGCAAATTTTTTTGGTAAAACGTCATGTCTACTAGTGTTGGTGAAGTAATATGGAACCCGGGCAAACAGATCTACTATTATATCAATTGATACTGCCATTTATGAGCCATTAGTGCATACTTTAGCTAAGGTATTAATAAATTTTACACAAAAAAATTTTTAATTATTTGATGTTTTATTCTCTATTTGATCCTGAATTTACATTAGCAACTCCATTGATTTCTTATATAAGTTTCATAATAAAAATCAATTTAGCGAAAGGTATTTTTTAAAAAAACTAAAAAACTATAAATCTAAGTTTATTATTAGGTGTTTTATTAAATGCTATGTAATATAATGCCTAGTTTAAAGGTCTAAAAAAAAATCTAAGAAATCGGAAATCAGAAATTAATTTATTATTTTTTTTTTAATGACTGCAAATTTCATAAAATTTTGCAAATCGCAATAAGAATGTTTATAATTGCCATAGTAATCGCCCATCACTAATTTGAGACGTGATATGTATATAAATTTTTATGCACAGTAATTATTTTCATATTGTCTTAATTTTATACCATTACTGTACATAATCAACAAATTTTAGAAGTAAAATCATTGCAGCAATGAATACTGCTAACAAAATAATACCACAAATAGTGACACCAATCACTAATCCAATATTTTGAGGGCTTGGGATAATTGTAGTAGCCTGATCTGTACTATTTGGAACAAATTTAGTAACCCACTTATAGGAATCTTTTTGGCTTACATCGAGCATAAATATTTTTGACGAAACACTACTATTTGAAAATATGCCTATTGGAAAAATAAAGATTTAGCAAGCTTAAATAAACAATTAATAAATAAACCGATAAAATAATTAAAAATTTTACCAAAGCCAACAAACATATAATTATTCACTAATGTTGCGGTATGTTCTCGAAGAGTTAGATCCACAATTGGGTTTAAAATGCTTCCAACTGACCATTGATATATCGTAGTATCTAAGATCCACAGATCACCGAAAGTCGTATTGGAGTTATGACCACCAAAAATTACTATACGTCCATCTGGAGCTTTTAATTAAATGATTAATGTTAGAACTTTTATACTCAAAAACTTATTTATAATGTTGAATGACGTACTTAATATTGCTGAAAAGGAATTGCGAGAAGGAGGTGTTGAGCCAGATGTATTCTAAAGAGACATAAAATTTAGATCATTACAGGTCATTAAGTTCTAAGCATAATGAAATTGTTGACTACGTACTAGGTTTGCCCACGTATCATATTTTGTATTATATAACTGTAACTATAAACTTATTAATAAATAAAAACTGAATAAATCAAACATATTTGATGATAAAACTTACGTTATTCATTGGCATATATGAATTGGTAATATTACTAAATCCACCAATATATAAAATATTATCATCAGGCAAAGTTATTGCTTGATATGAATACCGAGACAAAGGTGCATTTGTTGCATTGCTTAAACTCCAAGTTAATCTTAATGTATTAAATATCCAAAGATCATTTGTAATATTATACCCACTAAAAATAGCAATCGATCCGTTGTTAAAACCAGCACATGAAATAGAATATCTATTAGTAGGTACACTTCCAACAGATGCGATATCGATCCACTGTTGTTTACTTGTATCAAATTGACTAACAAATGGTTGATTATTAGGATAATCTCCAAAAATAAAAACCATATCATTATTTTTTCCACCAATACACGCTGTGGCATCCAATTTTTGAGGGCCTCCAGTATAAGTAAGGTCAACCCATGGTATTGAAATGTTATCAGTTATTGTAAATGGTTTAGAAACATCTAAATAAAAGAATTCATTTGTATAGGCATTATAAGTGCCATTAACAAATTTCATTCCGCCACTAAAATAGAGTTTCCTATCATTAAGGATCGAGGAATGAGACAATCTTCCACTTGGAATAAAAGCAGCATAAGTAAAAATACAATTTAAGAGAAAAATGAAAGCATTAAAACTAAAATACAACATGATTATGCGAGCTAAGTAACTAAATAAAATAGTAACTACATATGGGGGAGTGTCAGTAGAAATGTGACAAATTTTTTAAATAAATTTGTCCCATTTCTACTGACTCCCCCCATATATAGTTATTTATTTTTTTTCATAGTAAACATAAGGATACGAAGCAGCCAATAATGGGAGTTATTTGAAAAATACTCCATCATCTGGCTGAGAAAATTAATATGTCGCCCGAAGGGGCCCAGAAATTATACATATTGAATTCGCTGCCAGATAAACAAGTTATTGGTTGCGTAGCATTCAATAGCGGTGTTATCCGTTAGCTTACGGCAAGCGGACCAATAAAATGTCTCGAATTTTTTTGATTATGAAAGTGTCATTATAAAATAATAAATTGTTTGGTTGGTACGATAATAGTAAGCTGCCGGATAACGGTATTATCCGGCAAACTAATAATGGTCACAAATTTAATTCTGCACGTTAATTTTTTCATGTGATACGATGTGCTCAGCCGACAACACACCTTCCAATCATCATCATACGTAAATTGTCGTGTGATATCGTGTGACGCATTGAAATGCATATACAAGACCGGATTTAGTACACGCTGAGATATTATATCGTAAAAAGAAAAGAGTTTATATGCATACATATTTCTATTTATAATGGTTGTCGCTCAATTCCTCGAAAGTTATTTACCCACCAACACATTTCCCCGACATCGTAATGCCGACATGTTATTTCATCTAATGCACATTTTTCGTTAAGACATATTTGACAATACATGTTTTTGACAATCATTTTGCTAGACAAGACATTTCTCCGACAATCCTTTCCTCGACATAAAATTGGCCTGATTCAGCTTTAGGGTTAGCTGAATTAGAGTTAGTGTTGGTTAGAATTATATGTCGGAGAATAATTTCCGGGAAAATGTCTTGTCTAAAAAAAAGGTTGTCGAAAACATGTGCTATGTTTTATCGAAAAATGTGCTGTAGATGAAATAGCATGTCGGCAGTATGGTGTCAGGGAAATTTGTTGGCGGTAAATAACTTCGACGAATCATGCCGTAAACTTTATAATAGGAGTCTAGCTAATTGAAAAAAACCGCATTAAATTATTGAAGATTCTGCGGTACACACTCGGGTCAAATTTATTGTATTTTTGAGGGATCTTGTGCATGCACTTTTATGGTCTATAGTGATGTGCATCATGAGCATGAGAATATTTTTGAATTTTATAATTCTGGCCCGTATTTGTAACGAGCTATCATAATGCGGGCTAGAATTCCATACGCATGATAACTATTATAGTTTTACCATTCTAAAAAATTTTCGCAATTAATTCCACACCTGGTGTGCAGCACATAAAAATTTATTTTACAATACCGAATTATTCTGTCAGTTCATGTTATGGTTATAATCCGTCATTTGTTGAACTAGTTGTATAATATTGACGGTCCTGTTTATTAAAGTTAGGTTTTGTTATAAAGCTAGTAAACTTAACCTTTAAAATATTATAATATCACATATTGATATTAATGATCTGTGTTTGATTTTTTCATTTTCATAAGTAATCTAAAATGCTGAGTTGTCTTAAAAATTTATATGTCGAAACACTTTCGTCATGCCGAAATAGTTTCTATGAACGTATACTAATAAAATTCTGGCTATCAATTTAGGTCATGGCTTGTATTTTAGATTTCGGCTTTTGCTTCAGATTGCGGCATAAATTATGAATTGTGGATTTATTTCTACTCAAAAATTGATGCCTAAATATTTTCGACATAGCCGCAACTAGTTACGGCATGTATATTCCGAATTGAAATGACATGCAACATACACAACCTTTTTGAAAACAACTATAACCGGACTGCTATATCGTTATTTTTGCACGGGATTCCATATATATGTATCCATATTGTGCTTTACTGATTTTTGAGCTTCGCTTTACTTTTTTTTATTTTACATCTTTATCGCTTTTTGCTTTTATTTTTTTTCGTATTACAATTCATCACGTAATAAGCTATACTTATTTACCTTGGTTTTATTAAAGTTTTGTCCAGCATATAATAATTTAACAAAAATTAAAGTTCTTTATACGAAGCGTGGACATTAAAAAAAATATATATATATGTCGTATCTGAAGTAGTGATTTATCAAAGTAGCGCCTGGCTAAAATTAAGCCCCTGAAATTAGATCTTCATGCATGCATTAGATTATAATTTTAGCCAGGGCGCTACTTCAGATACTGTATATCTGTATATAAAGTGGCTACTTTAGATAAATCGCTACTTCAGATGCGACATATACATACGATAAATTAGTGATTCCTGATTAATAGAATTGTTGAAAGATCTTCGTCTTATTCTTATCAAGTAACTAGTATTTTATAGCAGACACTCAAATACTGCAATAGCAGAAATAACCGTTATGCTGAATCAAATATTTGTCATAAAATGTAGAGTATATGGTCGATTAGTGTTACTTGTAGTGTTATTTTTATCACACACGAAAAACTAGGATTCGGGAATAATAATCTAATGGTAATCAATTTTTATCTTTCGTTATTAGTTTAATATTATGTGTTTACGAACTTTGAGCGAAGTTATCTCAATAACAACCTAGTAAATTCAAATATTTAAGCTAATTTCGAATCTTAATCTATAGAATTCTAGTATAAGAATATTAAAGGTAAATAGAGTATTAATAAGATTCTTCGTTCAAAATTTATGTTTATAGGTTAAAAAAAAAAAACCAAAAACTTCGTAGAGAATAATATTTTATAAGATTGTGTTTGAATTTGGTCGCAGCATACAGTGCACTATTGCTTAAATAATTGCTTTAACCCGACTTTTAATTTATATTTTTTTCATAAAATAATGCAATACGATTTTAATCAAAAAGGTGCCATTAAAAAATTGGTCGTAGAAGATAACGCAAAATCAAATATTCATAACAAGGTGATTTATTAATTAAAGTTCATGCCTCTGCCATTAATCTTGTAAGCTCATTTAAATTTCTATTCATTAAACTCTAATTTTTATGAATTAAGTTGTATATGAGATTCTAATCTTAAAACTATTGTAAAAATAAAAAATAAGAGTGACGTTTATAATGTTCTAGCCAGATTTCCGTTCACCTCCTTACCAGCACTCCTGAAAGAGATTTCGCAGGCATAGCTCCACCTGAATGATTGAATAAGGAAGTATTTGGATCTGGTGGATACATTGAATTCATTTGATGGATCTCATGCCGAGTGGGTATTCAAAGTAAATAACATAAATCATTATCTTTTATTTATGGTTTTATTACTATATTAACACCACAGTGCTATGTTTCAAAAATTAGCTAATTAATTAACACTAGATATACCAAATAAAAATGGTCAACTTCCCCAATACCTCACTCAAACTAAAGTTTGAACCTATCATATTACTTTATCTTAGGACCCCTAACTAGGGATGGACTCAGTCGGTTATTTTCGACTTAACCGACCGGCTATCTCATGATCCAGTGATCTGAATTGGATGATTTTTGTACCGTTAGATTAGTCTCAATGAGACGAATTTAATGGTACAAAAATCCTCCAATTAGGATCACTAGACCACGAGATAGCGGTCGGCTAAGCCGAAAATAACCGACCGAGTCCATCCCTACCCCTAACCATCAAAAACATGTACGTGGTGCTAGCACCACTGGTGTGCTTTAGTCAACTGTTTATTTATTATTGTTCTTGTGTGTACTTTCTCTGTTCATTTTCACTTTGTATTCATAACCTTATATTTATGATTTGTTTCATGAAATATATGTAAGGTGCACATGGAGCAGTCGGTTCTGCCGCAGTTCAAATAATAAAATTTCTTAAAGCTAGACCAATTTGTTCATTTACTAGTAATCCACTTCTGGAACTTGAACCTGATTCTGTATACACCTCAATTGGGGATTAGAAAAAGAAAATTCTTGATTTGACGGACCAAGAATGTATTGATGTCATAATGGACACTGTTGGGCATTTGATAAGATTTGTGAAACAAGTTAATGAAATGTCACTGTGAAATGATGTTGCATGTTTTGATGTATTTTAAGCACTTTTATCTTTAAAAAGCGCATCCATCATTGAAAATTCGTGGAAGATATGTTATGATGATGATAGTTGAACGAATACATATCATTTAACGGTCTTAATTTTTATCGTTAACTATTTCATCCTTACATATTGATATCTCTTTTGTATTCTAAACTTTTTCTTAGTTCCTATATGCTAAAAAACAAAGCCGAGAAATTCTTAGACTTAACACATTAAGCTATACTAGTAAAAGTATTAAATATATTAAATGATCAAAACTACTGTGATTCAAATATTTTATTCTCATGAGACCACTTTATTATTCAATAACTTTTTTGCAAAAACAGTGGCACCCTTCGAGCTCCACAAAATCTTAAACTATTTAAATTAGTCAAATGTATAGAATCATATAAATACGTGAACAGTAAACCAAAAGAGAAAGTTGTTTCCACAATTTAATAGCATATGGAATTGCATACTAATTGTTGAACACAGTAGAAATTGATTCAATTACAAAACATTTTGTTCAATTTATGTCATCGCATTTCGTTAATAAAATATTTCATAACAAGGGCTATCTCATAGCCATTAAATATTGATATTCTTTTGGTCCATTGAACTATAAGAAAAACCACAATAAAAAATCATAGAAATAATAACGAATTACACTTATAAATCATTATTTAAAAACTTTATAAGAACTAAATTATTCAGCAGCTTATTATATCAGACTGTCAAATAACTTGGTTATTTACAGCCCGATTATAGCAAGCTGTCGTTATTTAATAATGCTATATACCAACACGTCTACCACTGACACATTAAAAAGTTTAGTTTATAAATTGTTTCACATTACTAGTTGACTCGCGATAATTAGAATTCCAAATTTTACGCCAAAACAAATAGTTGGTGTAATTTAAGCTTTATTTGCGGACGAGCATACC